GAGAGAGAGAGAGAGAGAGAGAGAGAGAGAGAGAGAGAGAGAGAGAGAGATGTAATCCAGCATGCACACTGAGACTTCAGATTCAACAAACTTGCATTCCATGAAAAGAGCACAAGGGTCAAAAACCTGATTCCACTCTCTGTGACACAAACACACACCTGTAGGTCCATGCTATCTGGCGACTTGAGCACAGATTTGATGTCATTGTCCCTCTCGATTGCCGAGCGCATGGTGTGCAGAAAGCCTGCCTCAGAAGCACAGTCTCTGCCATGCTACTTACCTATCTTTCTCACACACCAGCCGCCGAGGCCTCCTTATCCTTCCCTCTCCCCTGAGAAATCAGAGACCTGCCGCCGATGCCTCCTTAGCGCAAAGAAGCATACCCAAGCCCGGTCTCTGCCGCCATAAGTGCTGCTGACAAGAGCGTCAGAGCGGCATTTCACATTCCGAAATCAGGCCCCCCCTTCTGATGCATTAACAAGCAAGTCCCACAAGTCCCACAAGTCCCACAAGTCCCCACAAGTCCCATAAGACTCTCTGGAGCTTGTTGGCAAATTGTGCCAGTCATAAGCAAGCACCATGTCCGTATTCCTTCGTCCACTTCTTCATCCTGGAAGATCGGAAAGAGAGCGGAGCGGCACGTGCCTGACTCAGACCCTAGGTAAACATCCAAGCAGCATGCGTGCGTATGTCCTCGTCTCTGCCTGCCTGTCCTCCTCAAGCCAGCGAAGCCTGCAAAGAATTCAACAGAAAACTCTCTGTCAGCACGGAGGCAAATTTATCTTTTGTCCTTTCCACGCCCCACCGACTCTTTCAGATACCCTTTCTTTCTCCCATCCATCACTCAATCTCTGCCTCTAACATGACTGACCACCCCTTCATGCCTACCTACTTACCCCTCTCCCTTTCTCTCTCTATCCCTCCGTCTCTCCATCCCCTCATCCCACCACCTAGCAACCCTAAGCTCTATATTTCCGACACAAAATCTTCAGCAGGAGCAGCCGAGAAAGAACAGTCTAGTCATCAGCAAAGTTGCGGCCATTGGGCCTCGCCGCACTACTCACCAAATGCACAAAAGACAGAAATGATGGTGGTGCATCTTTCCATGTTCTAGAGGAAGATTCATTCTCATTTCGTACATTTCGGTGCTTGGGATGATGATATAGTCTGAACTTTGTGGCAACACGAAGGCTACAGGCATTGAAACCAAGGCGACCTGTGAGCTTCCTCGATTGATTTTGAGACACTAGTGATGCATTTATATGTCGCAGACTGCACCACTTCGCCTCAATCGATGGTATTCATTTCATTCGGTAGTAGTGGAGCAAGGCCCATTCTTCCAGCGATCGCTGCGGGCTGTCCGTCAGAACATCATTGGCATCTACCTTAAACCGCCACTACCTCCCGGCACATCGGGCCAACACCTGCACAGCGCAGACAGAAATAAAAAGAGCCTGTGTCTCTTACCAACTGAAACAGGGAAGACCTCCTCAGAAACATGGCGGTTGTAAAACAAGTGGCTGTACACCCATGAACTGTTGAAATATGAATCAGACTCAAGTTTGAATCCAAATACAACCAGATGGCCAGAATTAGATCATTCTGAAGTACCTGGGCCCAGTCAGTTCTATGATGGTATCCCAAGACCGTCGCCCTTTTTAGAGGAAAAAAGAGAAAAGAAAAGAAAAGAACAAGAAAAAGACAAAAGTGGTGACTGTGATGGTTTGGACAACCGCTACTTTCCATCCCCTCCCTGGTTCCAGAAGGCGCACCCCTTTCAGTTGGGCACATCCGTTTATCACTTGCGCCAAGCCGTTTCTCACTAGGGCCCAGACGGCCCATCGGATTGATGATCTGATGGGACAGGTATTCTCCTGTCTGCAGAGATTGGATGTAGCGACGGGTTCGAACTTTGCACTTTGCAAGTTCGACTAGGACCGCCTGGCTGGCTGGTCGTCTCTATAGGTAGTGTATAGACATTGGGGTACTCTCATAGCTATGTCATCAGGGTCCTAGGGCCAACCACGGGTAGACTATGAGGGGGTATAGGGGCTGGAGGGACTAGTAGAGAGGATGCCGATAAAAGTATAGCTCGGGTAAGGACTTGAACTTGAGCCTGTCTCCTGAGCAGTACGTCGGGGATTAAGGGTTAGGACACCGTACATTAATAGGCGGGAGATAGACTCTACGCCTGCCCAAGGGGGGATAGCCTCTACGCCTGCCCAAGGGGGGATCGGCTCGGGATCTGCTAAGTCAAGGGTTGGGGAACAAAGCTACTTAGAGTGTGCCCAAATAGCACCCAGTTGGAGGTTGGATCTGTAGGGACAAAATCCGATCTCTGGTGGCAGGCTGTAGGTGTAGGCAGGGCCACGACTTGCAATAGGACTTAGGCTGCAAGCCTCTATAGGATTCCGTCTAGAAAAAATGCTCCAGAAAGTCAAGTGGGTCATTCCGGACCTCGAGTGACTGAACCCCGGAGAGTACTCCCGCACCTGATACCCCGCCTCTACAACAACCTGCGCATTTAAAAAAAAAAAAAAAAAAAAAAA